GCTATCTGCCTGCTCTCTATCTATGAGTCTGTCTTTATTTTGCTTGGTAGCTCAGTTTGTTCATTAAATCAAAGTAGGAACTCTGATTATCTTCAATTTGCAGGTGAGGAAACTAAAACACAAAGGGTCAGTTTCTTTTCAGATGTCAAATAGCTTGTAGGTTGTAAAGTCAGGACACAAACCTAGGCTGTCCCTGTCAGTCTGTGCTCTGAGCATGGCGCTGAGAGTTTAGGCCTTTGCTAGAATCACAGGAAAGGAAATCCTGGAAAGGTAAGTTGAAACAGGAGCTGCTCAACACTGTTATGTAGAAAGCCCTCCCTGAGAAAAAAAATATCATAGAGGGAAGCATATAGAAGAATGAGCTCCAGTGACATTGATAGAGACCTTGGCTTTACCAGTTTCTGAATCCTTTAACCTAGGTTTTGGTAGTTTTTTTACCTAATAAGTTTTCCTTTTCTTCTTAACCTGCTTTTCACTAGATTCCTCTTACAACAAATGTCCTGCCTATAAAACCAGGAAATGGCAAGCTCAGAGCCTAAAAAAAGATTAGGTTGAAAGCCAAATTTTAAATTAAATCTGTAAGCCGCTATTACTGCCGTAAAAAGAATCATCACAAAACTGGTAAATGTTGAAAGAATTAGTGAGTATCTATATCTATATCTATATCTATATCTATCTATATCATCTATATCTGTCTATGTCTATATCTATGTCTATATCTATATATCTCTATATGTATCTCTAGCTATATATATATGATGTACATTTTAATTCTATAAATATTTCTTTAGGTGAAGGCACTGGGACTTATTTATTTATTTATTTATTTATATTATAGATTAGGTAAAACAAAATTAATCTTGTTAAGAGCTGAGGAGGAGAATTCTAGCAATCACAAACAAAATAGTCATCATCCTGGAAAGGAAAAAGTAAAAAAAAAAAAGTGAGACAATATGAAACGCTATTTCATATTGCTGAGATAGAACACATAAACACTCAGATCCAGTAGGATAGGTTTGTGTAAAATGGGTGAGTGCCTAGGGAAATAGGAATGAGGAACTTGCAGCCCATCCCCCCAAGGACGGTAAATCTCCAAAAGTGAGTATTGAATTGTCAGAAAGTTTCCAGAATAGAGAGACACATTCCAAGTTTGATGTACAACACAGGATTCTGTATTCCAGTCCTTAATGTGAACGCTGGATTCCTATCTGCAAAGATTCTATTGTGTTGAAATATGAACTCATTGCTGCCTCAACCTAGATGATCTTTCCTATCTGTCCACCCTCTGAGAGGGCAAATGAGTGACCCTGACAATAATGGAAGTGGCCAGAAACAATCTTCATATTATCGGGGAATTCATCCCCCGACACCAGCCACCAATCCCCCATGGTACCTGCTACATGAAAGTGCCCCTCTTATAATCAGCCTGTCTCATGTGCTTGTGCTGCCAAAGGGGGTGCCCCTAAAGGCACTTAAGAGATTTGAAGGGTATATGGTTACAGAATCAGTTTCCTATTTGAAGGATTTGTATCTGGCATTATGTCAGTGTTTGAGGAGGGAAAAAAAATACCCAATATACTTGCATTTACAAAAACTAGAGAAAAGCCGCCTTCTCCCCTCTCCAACCTGATCTTAAACAATTTATGCAGTATTAATGTCTACAACCTGCTTTCTGATGTCGTTTATAATTTTTCTTTTTTCCCCTTTCTGATTGGACAATATTATCTAGACTAGTTATAACAGCCAGCGCAGCGTCAGGTCCTCTAATTTATGTGTTAATGTGATGTTCTGGAAGCTTGATGTTAAAATGATGAATATCACCTGGAAAGGAGATTGGATGAGAGCAAAAGAACTGGCAAGTTGCCTTGTGGAAATAGCTTTCGACTTTATCAAACCGTGGGGTAACATGTCAGATTATATTACGTACGATTAATTATTAATGCCTGCTGGGCCTTATTTCAAAAAGCACAAACATGCACTTCCAATGCTTTGCTTCCCATGGAATATCTGCTGTGTCCTTCAAATTGAGCAGCAAAATATCCCTCACAAAACACCTTCAGGCTTCCATTTCTCCAGATTTAGCATGCATCTGAGACAAGAAAGCTTTCACAAGCCTCCTTGCCGCGGACAAAACAGAGATGTGTTTTTGCTTAATTAAAATTCTTTTTTGGCAACAGATGTCCTTGCAAAAATAGCTCAGAGCTCGGTGAAGCATTTTTATAGGCTGGAGTTCAGCAATGAGGAGCCCGTCATCTGCCTTCTCTGCTCTGAGAGCAACACAAGAGACCAGGTGGCTGGTCACAGTTTGAAAAGTGAACAAATGTATTTATTCACTCTGAGCAATTTGCAACCCACTGGGAGAGCAGGAGCCCTCGCCCAGCCCCTAGCGTCTGAGAACGAGGACTGTGGGAGAAAGGGGCTGTTTAATTGCTTCGCACCGTCTCTCTCACTAAAGCAATTAGCACCCAGAGGAAAGTCCAGAGAACAACACAGCCAGGCCTCACACCCGAGTGCTGGCCTGCAATCGACCTGCCTGCTGTCCAAGCACACAGACGGTTCAATCAGTGATGTGAGCGTAGGCTCCGTGCTCCGCTTCCTGGCTTGCTGCTGGTGAAATGTTTTCTTCCTATTCCCAAGCTCCTAATCCATTGAAGAACTAGTGCACTGTGGGTGGAAGCTCATCAGCTTCACACCTAGCTCACTCTAGTGGAAAATAAAAATATCTTAATAAGCTTGAGAAGTAAAAGAAGACAGCTTAGATGTGTACTCAGGACTCAATGACGGCTGAATGGCAGGTGAGAAATCAGATAAACCTACACAAGTCAACTGGCTAAGCATCTGACTGGGATGGGAACCGGGTCTTAAAATAAATCAGGCAGAAGGACATAGAATTTAAAAAATAAAAATAAAAAAGATACCCGCTAAGGATTCTGTCTGTGGGACAAATAGCTGCTATGCGTGACAACATTGGTAGAAATTATGTGAATAAATTTTGCGTGCATTTTTTTTTATTTAGTCGCAAGGCTAGGTTTGAGCAAAGCATTCTGTTTATTTTTGGGGTGTTCTTGTCATGGGCTGAACCAGAAAATTCAATAGAGCACAGTTCGTTAATAAAGTTATATTTCATGTTAGTCAATTTTCCTGATAACTGAAGGTTTTCTGAGATTAATGTCTTTCTAAAATATTTAACCACATTTTTTTGAACATAATTCTAAAATGTATTATACACTTTCTTGTGTGTAGACACTTCCCTTGTGCCACCCAGAGTCCAGAGATCACTCACCGTCCACAGAGGGAAAGAGTAACAAATTATTCTCTTCGGCCTTTTGTGCAAATTGTGTACATTAGTGTTTTCATTGTGTTTAAGCTACTTTTTTATATTGAAAGAATATAATTTTTAAAATCTTACATCCTTGCATGGGGATGGCACCAAAATGATTCATTCTTTAAAAAATGAGGAGGTGGACAGGGTTACTGAGCAAAATTATTCATGTGTTTATTTAACAACTATTTAGTGATCATTTACTCTGTCAGGTACTATTTTAGGAGCTGAGGATTCAGCAGTGAACAAAACAAAGTTCTGGACACAATGAAGCTGGCATTTTAATAGCAGAGATAGGCAGCACAAAATTAAATTCATATGCACTACAACATCACATAGAGTTAAGTGCTAAAAAAAAAGGAAATAAGGTAGGGAAAGAGATAAGGTGGTCAGGGAGAGTCTCTCTAATTAGGTGACATTTGAACAGAGCTCTGGGTGAAATAAGGAAGAAAGCCATGTAAATATCTGGGAGAGGAGAATTCCAGGCAGAAGTATTGATTGGGAAACCATTCTCCATGACATTTCTACAAGTCTTGCAATTATTTTGTTTGAAACTTCTTTTAAGGATATTTGTAGAGCAAACAGCCTTGGAAACTAGAGATAGTGTCTCCCTCTGGGGCAAAGAGCGAATCTGTGTATGACCAGGACAACAAAGACCATTTCTACCTGCTGGGCAAAGGTGGAGCAGTTTTGCTGGTAACCACTTTTCAAGATTGAGGTTTTGGAAACTTAGTTTCAAGGCTGGGACATCAACCAGACTGTTATGTGAACACCATCCACTTGGACTTGCCTTTGCAACACCCCCGTGGGACTTGGGGAACAAGGGGAGCTGGTGTAAACAAGAAATTCATACTGCCTTCTGGGCCAGGAATATAAAGTGTCTAGATCCTTTGGGCTCATTATGAGAAAAAAAAGTATTTCAAGAAGGAGGGAACGGTCAACTGGGTCAAATGCCCAGTACGCGTAAATGTGGACTGAGGAGTGACCATTTGATTTGTCAATGTGGGGATTGTGTTACCAAATAGGAACAGTTTCTGAGGCCAAATCCTGACTGGAGTGGGTTGTAGAAAGAATGAAAGGAGATAAAGGAGAGAGTACAGAGAACGCCTTCAAGGAGTTTGCTATAAACCAGAGTAGGGAAAATCGAGGCTGGCTAAAAGGAAATGTCAGCGTCAGGAGAGGAGTTTTTGGTTTTTAGTTTGTTTTGTTCTGTTTTTATTTTATTTTATTTATTTATTTATTTATTTATTTATTTATTTATTTATTTATTTATTTTTCAAGCTAAGATCATTGCTTTACTTTGTGTTTAATACTACGAGTCAATGGATTCCACTTCAGGTTCCTGCTTAAATGCCTGGCACTAAATTGAAGTGTGTTTGGTTTTAAACTTACTGAAAGTTCTTATTGCTATTATACTTCTTCCCAGGTAACTTACAGATGGAGAAGTCACCGAGTCTACAAGTTGACAGAAAAACATTTAATATGTAACTTTAGACTGTGGAGAAAGGTCTGCTGAGGTTCAGAGCCAGATGTACTAGCAGGTCACAGCCTTCTTATCACTAATAAGCCCTCCCTTTTGTAATCAGATGACCTCTTCCCTCTGAGCTGATTGGAGAACCAGTGAGAATTTACAGCTGGGAGTAATGGTCTGGGCATTGGTGGGAGCTCAGCAGTCATCTTGGCCAGTGGGCATTTTTTCCCACCAAAATGGCACAAGCCTGGATCCATTGTCCTGAGCCTACATTCTGGAAAAAGAGAGACCACAGCATTGCAGAGAAAGGCAACTGTCCAGACCCAAGGGCATTCAGTGCCGGTGGCCCAAGGTGATAGTCCAGTAGCCAAGCTTGGGGAAGCCCTGCCACTGGTTAGTCCAGGTTGGACTAGCTCATTTGGCCATGGGGAGGGAGTAAAGGCAAGGTGTAGGTACAGCTGTTCTATTATTGTATGTGTAAGGTGGTCAGCTACCCCCGCCCCAGAGACTATCCATTTCAGTGTCATCCAGTGCTTCTTCCTGAGTGACCTTCAGGCAGGCGTTTCTGCCCACTTTCAGACACAGGGAAACAGACTCATGGAGTCATGTCACCAAAGGCAAGAAGGCAACTGGGTGGCCTTGGCTCTGCTTTATTGACCTCAGAGCACTCTTTGGATGCAGTTAAGACAGACAAACACAATGGGAACTGGAACTGTATCCAGGATGGTGCGCCTGACCCCAGAAGAATTTCCCCCCCCCCAAGGTGGATTTATACAAAACGCCAGAGGAAAAGACGAGGCAATCTGGTGCTGAGTCCAGGGGTAGCCAGTTGGCAGCGGAGCTGTCAGTGAAGCAGAGGGCTGGTCATGCCTCCTTCTTGTACGTGCGCGTACACTCTACATTGCCGTGGGTGAGCGTCAGGATGAGTTTGCCATCCACGAGCTCCCGCACAAGTTTTGTTTCTTGCCCGTTCCATTTCTGCACATGGACAAGTTTGCCTCCATCCAGCGTCACGGTGGACTTGACATTCCTGTCATCTGCCGTTGTCTCGTCAAACTCCACCCCCAGCTTGAAGTTGATCTCTGTGCTCTTGAAGGTGCTTTGTGTTTTCAGGGTGATCGTGTCCCCATTTATTTCGATGATTGTGATAGGCTTGATCACACTGGCCACCTGCCTGGTAGCAAAATCCACACCGATGGACCTCATGTAGTCATCGAAGTTGCTGCTGTCCACCAGCTTCCAGGTGCCTGCGAAGGCGTCCACCATGGTGAGGCTGGGCTAGGCTGTTAGCGAAGAAAGGACAAAGCAGGCGTGGAAGGACTCCAGGACCGTTTTGTTCTGTTTTTAGTATAAAAGATAGTATAAGGTTTTTATGTTAGGAAATAATCTGGTAGATAGTGAACAATTAACGACACAGGAGAGAAATAGCATCATTTGAGGAACAAAGTTCTCAAGTAGCTAAAAGGGATGGGCTTCACTGTGCCAGTTGCCGTGTTGGCCTCACATCAGTGTGGACAACTGAGTCCCTGTAACAGGAGAGAAGACAGCGTATAAGGCACAGGTGCAAGTAATGTGCCATAAAAGTTTTCTCAGTGAGTGAAGTAAGAATCAAGTCACCAGTACAGAGTAAGGAGAGTGTAAGGGTCTTTGGAGGTTTGGGGAGAGAGATGATGGCGGGAAATAGTCATCTAGGAAGGTGAGAAGGGCCATTTATAGGGAAAAGTAGCAGTATTGCAAGATGGCACTAGAAAGTGTTAAATTCATGTTTCCTCATTAGTGGCCTCCAGGATGTTAAGATATGTGAAAAGATAATTCCATTGGTGAGGAAGATAACTCATGGTTAATTAAGTTTGAATATGCTTGGTATAAAAAATTAAGTATCTTTATTAAAGGACTTCACAGGGTCCTTAATGTGTTACAACAAAATGGTGACTTTCCCAGAAGGGCTAGAGTATGCAATGTTCCCCAAATTAATTTGGTTGTAGGATATTAGTAGGGTTTTATGAAACATGACTTGGAAAATGCTGGTTTAATCACTCATTGATACCCAGCTATGTTTGTTATTAGGGCCTGATAAAGCAGGCCCCTGCTCCTCTGAAGTAGAAATAGAAGTGTCAGGCATTGTCCATCAGAGAACAGGGCTCTAAAAGAAGTAATTGATGCATTTGATGAGACATCCTAGTTGTTGCAGTGTGAGATGCATCGTAGCCAGAACCTTGGGGACTTCATGACTTCCAAGGAGGCCAAGACTAGATGTAAAACTAGATGTGGATTTAAAATAAGTAAAAACAAACAACAATATTAATAAAAAAAAACAAAACTTGAGCAATATTTAAATACAAAAGCTGTTTCAACAACCCACTAGTGAAATTACTCCTGGAAGAAAAACCTGGGCCACTGGATATCTTTGCTGGGGTTTTCAGAAAGATGACTCTGGGGTAATCTGAGGCCCAGGGAAGAATCTGTAGACCACATAGGAAAGAGCCTTTCCCACCTTGAGGCATCTCCAAAGGTTCAGGAATATGTCTGTGAAAATGGTTATGGATTACCTAGGACCATGGTCAGCTAACTGCGGCTCGCAAGCCACATGCGGCTCTTTGGCCCCTTGAGTGTGGCTCTTCCTAAGCCTTAGGAGTACCCTAATTAAGTTAATAACAATGTACCTACCTATATAGTTTAAGTTTAAAAAATTTGGCTCTCAAAAGAAATTTCAATCGTTGTACTGTTGATATTTGGCTCTGTTGACTAATGAGTTTGCTGACCACTGACCTAGGACACCTGATGGGAGAGCCCTCAGCACAAGGGCAGAAAGCAGGTTCCTTACTTTTGGAACCTTGAGGGGGAAACCAAAGGTACTCAAGCACAGGAGCAAAATTAGTAAGTAGAGTTTATCATGGGTAGAGTTTTCCAGTGCGACAGCAGCAATTTCTAATCTGATTCTACTTTGAGCTGAAGTCTACATAGCTTAGGCTAACAACATCTAAAACCAATTCTAACTACATTATTAAAAGTTTTCAGTACTATGTGAAAAGGGCATTCTGAAAAAGCTGGCTAGAATTAAAATAAAATTTTAATATCTTCAAGTATTAACTTTAACTTGGCTAATTTTGCCATTATCCCCCATATTAGGGGTGCAAAATGAATACACACACACACACACACACACACACACACACACACACCATGTTTAAAAATTGAGACTGCCACATTCTGATGCTTAGCAAGAAAAGGCCAGTTGAGAAGACTTTCTCATCACCCAGATTTGGAATAAATGAAAGTAACACCAATAAACAGTGGCCACTGCTTTTAAAAAGAAAGGAAAATGTCTTTGCAAGGAAGAAAAGTAAGGTATGATGAGACTTGATCTTGTCCAACCCTGAAAGATCCCAAAGGTCTCTCCAAGTAAAAAGTGTAAGTAGCATATATTCCTTCTACAAAATGCTTCTTGGCTCAGCACTGCAGAGGTCTCCCTTTTTCAAAGGCATGTGATTTAAATAGGAAAGCTTGGCCTAGTAGAAGAGGCATGAGGATTTTGAACCCGGGAAGGCATTCAGTTAAAATCATTTAAGAGCATTGAAGTCAAGCTGACCAATGAAGACATCTGCTCTAAAGGGCCATGCTGTGCCCCACCTTTCCACTGCGCTGCTTCCAATGTGCTACCTTGTTTTACACACGATTGTCAAGAAGACAATGAAAGTGCAGGGATGTTATGACAGTTTTTTAACAACTTATTCTCAAGTTCACAATTATATTCTAAATGCCTGTATTGCCAAATACCCAATTTCTGTATAAAGAATTCAGGGGTTGGGAAGGCAAATAAATGTATTTTTTAAACTATTTATAAATATACTAGAGGCCCGGTGCATAAATTTCATGCACTGGGGGCGGGGGGGGGGTCCCTCAGCCCAGCCCGCACCCTCTTCAATCTGGGACCCCTTGAGGGATGTCCGACTGCCCGTTTAGGCCCAATCCCACCCGAATGGGCCTAAACGAGCAGTCGGACATTCCTCTCACAATCCAGGACTGCTGGCTCCCAACCGCTCGCCTGCCTGCCTGCCTGATTGCCCCTAACCGCTTCTGCCTGCCAGCCTGGTCACCCCCAACTGCCCTCCCCTGCAGGCCATCTTGTGGCCACATGGGGTGGCCATCAATGATCACATGGGGGTGGCCATCTTGTGTGTTGGTCAATTTTCATACTGGTCATGACTAATTAGCATATCTGGTCGTGGCTAATTAGTGCATCTGGGATAATTAGCATATCCCTCTTTTATTATATAGAATAATGAGTTATTACATGTGAAAATTTTTATAAAATATAGGCAACTATCATATGGCATTACATACACATGTATATGTTTTATTATCATGTAACATATAATATCTGATAGAATAGGTAACTATATCCTATCTAATAAAAGACAAAAAGGGTAATTAACTGTACCTCCTCTATGCTTCCCATTGGCTAATCAGGGTGATATGCAAATTAACCCAACCAAGATGGCGGCCGGAAGCCATGCAGCTGAAGTGAGCTGGAGGTTTGCTTGATCCAGTGATGGAGAGCTCCGGAAACAATGTTTCAATTATAGAAGCTAAACAAACCACAGATACCTGCTTTCAGCCGGCCGCAGCCTCAGAGCTTGGAGCACCACCAACGGCAACAATGTTTCAATTATAGAAGGTAAATAAATCCCAGAATAAAAAAAAAAGAAAAAAAAGAGAGGCTGGGAGCTTCAGTCGCCTGCCAGCCTGAAAACAGCCCTC